TTTGATGGGGTCATTAAGCCCATTCACGTTCAGAGTTACTATTGACAGATATGAGTTTAGTGTCATCATGATATCTATTTAGTCCTTGTTTTTGTGGATTGTTCCACTGAACTTCTTCTTAAAGGGGAGTTTTAAGAGTCCCCCTTAAAATTTCTTGCAGAGCTGGTTTGGAGGTCACATATTCTTTCAGTTCCTGCCTGTCTTGGAAGCTCTTTATCTCTCCTTCCATTTTGAATGAGAGCCTTGCTGGATAAAGTATTCTTGGTTGCATGTTCTTCTCATTTAGGACCCTGAATATATCCTGCCAGCCCTTTCTGGCCTGCCACGTCTCTGTGGAGAGGTCTGCTGTTACCCTAATATTCCTCCCCATGAAAGTCAGGGACTTCTTGTCTCTTGCTGCTTTAAGGATCTTCTCTTTATCTTTGGAATTTGCAAGCTTCACTATTAGATGTCGAGGTGTTGAACGGTTTTTATTGATTTTAGGGGGGGATCTCTCTATTTCCTGGATCTGAATGCCTGTTTCCCTTCCCAGATTGGGAAAGTTTTCAGCTAGGATTTGTTCAAATACATATTCTGGCCCTCTGGCCCTTTCGGCGCCCTCGGGAACCCCAATTAAGCGTAGGTTTTTCTTCCTTAGAGTGTCATTTATTTGCCTTAATCTGTCTTCATGGTTCTTTAATTGTTTATCTCTTTTTTCCTCAGTTTCCCTCTTTGCCATTAACTTGTCTTCTATGTCACTCACTCGTTCTTCCACCTCGTTAACCCTCGTCGTTAGGACTTCTAGTTTGGATTGCATCTCATTCAATTGATTTTTAATTTCTGCCTGATTGGATCTAAATTCTGCAGTCATGAAGTCTCGTGAGTCCTTAATGCTTTTTTCTAGAGCCACCAGTAGCTGTAGAATAGTGCTTCTGAATTGGCTTTCTGACATTGAAGTGTAATCCAGATTTTGTAACTCTGTGGGAGCGAGGGCTGTTTCTGATTCTTTCTTTTGAGTTGAGGTTTTCCTTCTAGTCATTTTGCTCAGTGCAGAGTGGCCAGAAACAAGTTGTATTGGAACACGGGGGAGTATCACTGGTCCGTCCAGCTGGTCTTCTGGGGGAGGCGCCTGCTGTGCTGATTCTCAGGTGTTAGCACTTGGGGGAGCTGCTCTGCCCCTGCCTGCTGCAGGGCTCAGCGGGGGTTGTTTACCCCGTCAGGCCCCAGGAGGAACAGCCGCAGTGGTTATGGCAGCTCTGGAAGCCTGGATTCAGCCTCCGCAGGAACTACGGGGCTCAGGGCTCTCGGTTCTCCGTCTGCAGGGCCTGGAGGCTCCGGGGCGGGGCCGCTGATCTGCTCAGCTCGGGGCAGGAGCGTCCTCGCTGTCCTGGGCCCTCCCGGCCTCTGCCTGTCCCGGGGGAGGCCGGATCCTGGGCTGTGTCCCGGCGCCCTGTGCTCCGGGGCCTGCGCTGTGGGATTCGCGCTCCCGCCCCGGCTCCCTCCCTGGAGCCGCTCCCGAGCCCCTCCGAGCTGCTCCGGTGGGTCCGGCTGTGCGCGCTGCAGCCCTTAGGGAGCTCGGCGCACTCTCCTGCGCTCGCAGGTGTCTGTTAGTGTCCCCGGGAGCCCGAGGGCATCCCCGCCCTCCTGGGTCCTGCTCCAACTCCCTGCGAGCCCCTTTCCGCCCGCCCGGGAAAGTTGGTGCAGCTCCTGCTCCTCCGGGACGGGGCTCTCCTGTCCTGGGGACACTCGCCCCGGCCTCAGCCCGGCTCCTCGCGGGGCCCCTCCCCCTCCGAGGCCTTTTGTTTCTTTATTTCTTTTTCCCCGTCTTCCTACCTTGATAGAAGCGCGGACTCTTCTCACTGTAGCGTTCCAGCTGGTCTCTCTTTACATCTCAGGCCGAATTCGTAGATTTTCAGGATGGTTTGAAGGTTATCTAGGTAATTTGGTGGGGACAGGTGATGTGGGGACCCTGCTCTTCCGCCATCTTGCCCCTCCCCCTGCTCTTTCTTCTTTTTGATTGAGTCTGCTGTTGAAGCTTTCTGTTGAATTCTTCAGTTCAGTCATTATGTTCTTCAACTCTGAGATTTTGGGGGTGGGATGTGGGGTAGTAGTTTTTACTTTTTTATGTAACTTTTTGTTTATGTGTTGTTTTCTTTAGTTGTATATGTGTGTTTATTGTAGTTCACTGAATTTAAGAGCATTATTTTGAATTCTTTGTCAGACACTTGATAGACCGCCTATTTTTAGTTAGTCATTGGAGTTTTATTTTCCTTTGGTGTTGTTATGTTTCCTTGATTATTCATAATCCTTGTGGCCTTGTATCTGTGTCTGACATTTTAGGAAGTAGGTACTTCTTCCAGTCTTTACAGACCTGCTTTGTCAGGCAAAACCCTTCACCAGTTAGCCAGTCCAGAGTTTCTGGGTGGGTCATCTGGTAGTGTCCACAAATGGGCAGTCCACAAATGGGGTAGGCTGATCTGGTGTCTAGGTCAGCAGTTGTAAAGGCCTGGTATTTGGGTACATGGGAACCTGCCTGGTACCTAGTTCTATGGGGGCAGGCTTGGCACTTGAATCTTTGGTAACAGACCTGGGACCTGAGTCCATGTGGGTAAAACTAGATCCTGGAGCCATCCAGCACCCTGGACCACTGTGGTGAGCCTAGTGACAGGTCCATGGGGACTGGTCTGGTACTGAAACAGGTCAGAAGCCTGGTTTCACGGAAGCCAGCCTGGAGACTGGAGCCAAAGGTACTGGCTGGACAGTAGGGTGATCTGGAAATCTTGACCATAGGGGTCTGTCTATAACCTCAGAGTGCAACGTGGAGGTTGAGTCTGTGGGGATTGATATGGCCCTGGGGTGGGCCGGGTACCTGGGTCCATGGGAGCTGGTCTGGTGATGGGGTAAACCAGAAACCCAAATCTCTGGGAACTAGGATGTGATTTAGGTCCACAGAGGCCAGTCTGGTGCTGGAGTAAACTGGTAGCCTGAGGTCACAGGTGCCCACCTGGAACCTGGGTTTATAAGGAACTGATTGGAGCCATAGGAGCCACCATGATCATAGAATTGGCCAGCATTGGGGTTATCTAGGAGCCTGGGTTTACAGGATCCCACCAGGTGCGTGGTGCTGTGAAGCTGGCTGGCATCAGGATGGACTAGGAATCTCCTGCTATGGGAGCTGGCTGGTGCTAGAGTAGACCCGGAAGGTAGGTTTCTGGGAGTCCACTGGGAGCCTGGTGCTGTGATAGCCACGTAGGGACAATCATAAGATGGAGATTACATCTTCAGCATATAGGAAGTTTAAAACTTTATATATACATGTAGAAATAAATATATTGTACATAATATGTAATTTCAGTTATAGTGCTATATATGTATTCCATGCAAGGACTTTATGTGCACCTTATCTTAATAATTGTTCAATTTATAAAATTCATATTTTGGTATTATAGATATATTCAGGGAAAAAAGCCATAAAATACTGTGTATTTTAGTGATTTCAAGACATTTTCTTCCAGAAAGCCGGAAAAAAAAAAAAAACCCTCAGCCATTCTTTGAACATACCTTATAGTTTTATGCTATCTTGCCTTTCTTCTCATCATTTTCTCTGTTTATTGAAATCTAATTTATTCTTTTGGTTCCTAATTGAGTTCTGCCAGTTCTAATAAACTTACCACGAGCTAATGTAATGAATTAGCTTTTCTTTCTGTATTTTTTAGCTGTCTTTACTCACATTTCCCACATTTTGTTGTGTATTTTCAGTATTGTTTTAGGAAGCAGGTGTGACTCTCAGTTCATAAATTATGAATGAAATTGGATATAAAAACACTGTGTAGGGGTGCCTGGGTGGCTCAGTTGGTTAAGCGTCTGCCTTTGACTTTGGTCATGACTGGGTCCTGGGATTGAGCCCCATGCTTGCTGAGCGGGCAATCTGCTTCTCCCTCTCCCTCCCCCTTTCCCCACCGCTCATGGTCTTGCTCTGCTCTCTCAAATAAACAAATAATATCTTTAAAAAATTATGTATTTTAAAGTTTTCTTTATTGTACAATATATAACATATATAAGACGATATAAGCAATATAAAATATATAATAAAAAAGAAATTCCTACTCATCTTTTTACAGTATTAAATAAGAACATCTCTAGGAATTTAGAGCCACTTATTGTATTAGCCTTTCTCCAAACAGTCTGTAAGTATTCTGATATTTGGAATAATCCTTTCCTTGCTTCAGTATACTTTCTATGAATGTATTCCCTTTTTTAAGATTTATGTGTTTATTAGAAATGAAGAGTGAACAAGCGGGAGGAAGGGTGAGGGAGAGGGAGAGAAAGAATCTCAATCTAACTTCCTGGGTCTCCATCTCAAGATCCTGAGATTATGACCTGAATCAAAACCAAGAGTTGGATGTTCAATTGACTGAGCCACCCAAGCACCCCCTGTGAATGTATTCTTAATCACAATGTGCTGGAGTTTTACCTTTTGAACTTCAGCTAAGTGAGATCCTAATGAACATACTCTTCTTGGACTTGATTTTTGTGGGTCAGTACTATGTTGGGATATTTATTTATACTGTGTGTAATTGTAGTTCATCCCTGTCATTGATTTTCAGTATTCTGTTGTATGAATATACTACAGTTTCCATTCCACTGTTGACTTTTGGGTTGTTTTTAGGTTTTTTATATTACAAATAGTTATATTAAGTGTACTTATGAATATTTTTCTTGTGTGTACATATGTTTTATTTGGATAAATATATCATTATGAAACCATTCTCACCATCATTCTGTGAAAGAATTAGGATTCAGCCCTAATACCCACAGACATATAACTATTTGGAGAAATGGAACCACATCTTACTTATATTTTAAACATATTAGAATCTCATCAGATATTAAGTAAACTAATATAAAAATAGAAACTATTATTTTCTTTATTTCAAATATGCTACCAATATTTGAGGATGATTAAGAATGAAATTAGGAGAAAGAAATAATTGTTATTTGTTTGATGTTCACATTATTAGATAATATAAAACCTTTCACATACCCCTGGAGTTAAATTGTAGAAGAATGGATTTCTTGACATTCAACCAATTTGTAGTGCTCCTCTGGAAAAACTTTACCTTAAAGGTAGGTGAAGGCATCCATGTAAAATGTTCATAAATAGCTTTGTTTTTCAGTTCAGAGTTGTGGATGTGTCCGTCCATACATACTTTTTGAAAAAATCAATTCCAAACCTATAGGTTGCTTTTGCTAATGTATAAAACTGACTTAATCAGTAGTATAGTATGACCTATAAGCAAGTTGGGAGGGGAGGAGGTAAGGGTAGGTACAAGATAGTCTAGGAAACACTTGGTTGCTCCAGAGTAAACTTGGCAGAAGTTTAATATCCTAGAGCTATCCATATGCATTGAATATGTGTTTTTGAATTAACCAACATCATCCTTTTGTTTCTTTTCTAGAGGAGGCAGGTCTTTACTTTAATATTGGAAATCTTAACAGTACTGGTGTTTCCAGTGATGATTTTGCTATTCCGTAAACTTACTTCTTTTTTTTTTTTTAATTTATTTATGATAGTCACAGAGAGAGAGAGAGAGAGAGAGGTAGAGACACAGGCAGAGGGAGAAGCAGGCTCCATGCACCGGGAGCCCGATGTGGGATTCGATCCCAGGTCTCCAGGATCGCGCCCTGGGCCAAAGGCAGGTGCCAAACCGCTGCGCCACCCAGGGATCCCTAAACTTACTTCTATAAACGTTGTCGGACCTTAAAATTATACTTCCCAGCCCATCAATACTTTTTTCCTCAAAAATCCTGAAGATTGGGAATTGATTTATGTGCCTTCTAATATTGATGTTGTAAGTGAGATCATGGAGAGTATGAAGAGGAATCTGAACATCAATGTAAAAGGTTATAAATTAAGGTTTTCTATAAAACTTATTAAATTGGTTTTCAATGGAGTAAATCAGTGTTTTAAAAAAGAATAAAATTAGAGAAATCGCACATCCCAATTTTAAAACTTGCAATATAACTATAGTTGTGAAGACAGTGGGATATTGGTGGAGGGATAGATTCATAGATCATTGAAACAATACAGGCATACCACAGGGAGATATTGCAGGTTCAGTTTTAGACCACTGCAGTAAAGCAAATATCACAGTAAAACTAGTCAAATGAATTTTTTGGTTTCCCAGTGTGTATAAAAGTTATGTTTATGCTATACCGTAGTCTATTAAGTATGCAGTAGCCTTATGTCTACAAAAGCTATGCATGCCTTAATTTAAAAATACTTTATTGCTAAAATTGCTAACCATTATCTGAGCTTTCAGCAATTCATAATCACTGATCACATATCACCATACAAATAATGATATGAAGGTTTAAAATACTGCAAGAATTACCAAAATGTGACATATAGACATGAAATGAGCAAATACGGTTGGAAAAATGGTATGAGTAGATTTGCTTGACTCAGTGTTGCCCCAAACCTTCAAATTTTATAAAACAGTTTCTGCAAAGTGCAATAAAACAAATTATACCTGTGGAGAACACAGAGAACTATACAAATATGCCAAAATATTTTTTACAATAGTAGAAAGATAATCTTTTCAACAAATAGTGCTAAACACTTGACCATCAGTAGCTAAAACAATGAAATTTCACACCTTAGATTAAAAGAATACATCAAAATGGATCGCAGATCTATAAGTAAAATGATAAAACATTTACACAAGAACATAGGAGAAAATCTTTGTAACTTTGTAGAGTTAGTTGAAGAATTCTTAGGTATCATTCATGAAAGAAAAAATGAAAAATTGGACTTCTGATGTATAATGTTATTAGTGGCTGCTGTTGCGGTTAAAATATGCATGCATAATTTTTCACAACTTAGAATTTTTGCTATTTTATTTTAATGGCAAATGTTTACCAGTATATAGGTCCCTTTATAGTTCTCTCTTTAGGTTGTAGTTTTCACATCTATATAAGTTGAAAACTATACCAGAAAGTGTTATAATTTACACACATATTTTAAAGAACTTAAAGCTATTTACCCAGATATCCACCATAGCTCTTGCTTGTAACTTCATTCTTGAAGTTCCAAGTTTCCTCCTTCTGTCATTTTTCCTTCTTTCTGAAGAACTTTAACAATTTTTTAGAGCAGGTCTACTGGCAATGAGTTCTCTTTGTTTCCTTCATCTATGAATGTTTTTAATTCATCTTCATTCTTGAAGACTATTTTCATTTGATATAAAATTTTGAGTTGGTCCTTTCAGCATTTAAAAAGTATTTGCCAGTTTCTCTGACCTCTTTTGACCTCTTTGGTTTTTGCAAAGAATCTGCATTTGAATCCTTGTTTTTTTATAGGTAACGTATCACTTCTCTCTGGCTGTTTTCAAGATATTTTCTGTCTTTGTCAAAACTATGATTATGTCCCGAGTGTGGATTTCTTTTGGTTTATTCTGTTAGGGGGTTCTCTGAGCATTTTGAATCTGTAGTTTCTATCTTTCACCAAATTTGGGGAGCTTTTAACAATTATTTCTCAAAGTTGTATTGTCCCAGAAGTCATTGAGGATCTATTCAAATTTTTTCCCATTTTTTTTTCTGTCTCTTGTTCAGATAGGTAGTGTCTATTGATTTATCTTCACTCCTTCCTCTGTTATCTCTATACAGCTACAGTCAAATGAGTCAGTTTTTTTTAAAGCACAGTTTGAAGTGATCTCTACCTCCTGATTTATCTTGTTTTGAGATATCTTTTTGTGGGCTCTTGGCTGGCTCAGTTGGCAGATAGAGCCTGTGACTCTTGATCTCAGGGTTGTGAGTTTAAGCCCCACATTGGTGTGGAGCCTACTAAATAAAAAAAGAAAAGAACTGTTAAACAGCTTGTTGAGATCTAAGCCACATACCACATATTCACTCATTTAAAGCATACGATTCAGTGACTCTTGTATATTCAGGGTTGCATATCCATTACCACAATCAATTTTAGAGCATTTTCATGACCAAAAATAAATCCTATAATTTTTAGCCATGACTCTACAATTTCCCATCCCACCGAGATTAGGAAAACACTAATCTACTTTCTGTCTCTATAGATTTGCATATCATAAACCTTTACTGTCAATGGTTTATATATAAACCTTTCTTTTTTTTAAGATTTATTTATTCATGAAAGACAGAGAGAGGCAGAGACACTGGCAGAAGGAGAAGCAGGCTCCCTGCAGGGAACCCAATGCAGGACTTGATCCTAGGACCCTGGGATCATGCCCTGAGTGGAAGGCAGACACTCAACCACTGAGCCACCCAGACGCCCCTATATATAAACTCTTCGTATAAATTTTATATACCTGGAAGTTGGGATCATTTGTGACTGGCTTTTTTCACTTAGCATGTTTTCAAGTTCATCTATGTTGTAGTTTGTATCAACACTTCATTTCTTTTCATTGTCAAGTAATAGCCCATTATATGAATATACTGTGTTCACTTGGTATATCCTTTATCATTTGGCAGACAGTTGGGCTAAATCCACCTTTTGGCTTATAAATAATACTGTTATGAGCATCCATCTCTCAGGTATATGTAGACATGTGTTTTCATTTCTTTTGAGTATATACCTAAGAGTGGAATGAATATATCATGTGGTAAAACTATGTTTAACTTTTTGAGGAACTACCAAAAGTTGTTATCTAAAGTTGTTCTATTTTATATTCTGGTCAGCAATGCATGAAGGTTCCAGTTTTTCCATATTCTCACCAGCACTTGTTACCATCTTTTTTATTATAACTATGAATTGGTATCTCATTGTGATTTTGATTTGCATTTCCCTTATGACTAATGACTTGTCTTCATATATATTTTATAATGATTATTATTTAAAACTAGAGTGAAGTTTTTTTTTAATTTTTATTTATGATGGTCACAAAGAGAGAGAGAGAGAGAGAGAGAGAGGGAGAGAGAGGCAGAGACATAGGCAGAGGGAGAAGCAGGCTCCACGCACTAGGAGCCCGACGTGGGATTCGATCCCGGGTCTCCAGGATTGCGCCCTGGGCCAAAGGCAGGCGCTAAATCACTGCGCCACCCAGGGATCCCCTAGAGTGAAGTTTTATACTTAACATTGTTTTGAACCCTCAATAACCATTAAGTAGTTGTGATACTTGGAAAACACTGTTTTTAAATTTATAATATTGGGATAAGCTTTTATCCATGTATCTCCCCTTCAGTGGAATATAAATTTTTTCTATTGTAATGAACAATTTATCCTTTTTACAGTTCAAGGGTTTGCTTCAGAAATAGAGTTTGAGAGGTACATTGAATATGACTATGGATCTCATAAAGTACTGGCTGCCATCATTTTTGACTGTAACTTCAAAAGCAGCAGTGACCCTCTGCCACTTCAGGTGAGAACATTTTATTTAGAGTTTTCTAAATACACAGTTTTCTAGTAGTTGTGCTAACAATTTCTAGAATTTTAATGACTTTGCTATTACTAACCCTATTTTATGGATGAAGCAACCAATGTTCCCAAGATCAAACTACTAGTATACGATAGAGCAAGAATGTGAATCCAGATCTGAGTAACTAATTTCTGTGCTGCTAATTAACTGTTACACTATGATAAGGAAAGAACTGTACACAGAAGGCCTTAGACTCATGGGAATCTTTGACTACTTAGGCATTGCTTCTAGATCTACAAAGAGTGGTGGAACAAGCTACAGAGCAGATGCATTTTCACTAACAAGGAATCAAGCATGGAAAAAAAGTCCTCTTTCTTCAAATGAAACACAGATATAAGTCCTTTCATAAATCACTAGAAAAAACTCTAAGCTTCAGCCACATTGATTCAGAACTAGGACATTCATTGGCGCTGAAAAAGGATCTGATTATAGCATAGCCCATGGGAAGGAGAAACTGGTGTCTGGTATCTTTGAACTGGTGTCTGATTAGCAGATCTTGTTAGACATTCTATCCTGGTGATGATAGAAATAAATAATCACCTATAATATCTACATGGAGCCAAACTCTATGTTTATAATACAGATGCAGGTTAAGTAAAAGGCAAAATTATTAAAACCACTGGTAGGATACTATATATTCTTTCCGTATGTCCCATCCTTCCATGACTCTATGCTTCTGTACCAACTTCCTTCCATTTACTAAATCAGAATTATCCATATGCTGATAATGGATTTAGGCTCAACAGTATGCATTGGCTCAAAGTGTGTTAAGTGCCATTTCAAGTTTTTTTTTTTTTTATGATAGTCACACATAGAGAGAGAGAGACAGAGACGCAGAGACATAGGCAGAAGGAGAAGCAGGCTCCATGCACTGGGAGCCCGACATGGGATTCAATCCAGGGTCTCCAAGATCGCGCCCTGGGCCAAAGGCAGGCGCTAAACCGCTCCGCCACCCAGGGATCCCCCATTTCAAGTTTTATTCTCATTACTAATTGATTCTGCTTGTTTCCTCAAATATTTGTACTAGATTCCAGCTACTACCTTATGATAAACTGAAATAGGCTCACTGCCTGATGTAATAAAAGATTTCAGTAGGATCCTATCTCCTAGCATAATTGACAAAATGAATAGGGTAAAATGGAAAATTATCTGTCACACAAAGATCCAAGAAAAATCACAATTCTGGGGGGAGTTCTGATTTATTTACAGAATCGTATTACATTATTCAAAGAGATCACAATTTACTTACCATTTCTGCTACTGGGCACTTTACATTTTTTACAGATTTTTTTTTTCTATTTTGCCAGCGAAACAGTGCTACTATGAAGGTTAGGTACTCTGGATGTATGTTTGGACATAAAATATCTGGGGCATGGTCACATCTTAAAATTTATTACATAATGCCAAATTGTTTTCTGAACTGATGATACCAATTCAGACTCCCAGCAACAGTGTCTGAGAGTTCTCGTTATCAAATTTAATATTTTCAGATGTTTATATTCACTAATTCCATGGGTGTGAATTAGCTAATTCCACAGGTGTGAAGTGGTATGTAACTTTGGCTTCAATTTCCAATTCCTTGGTTTCTAATGAGATTAGCATATGTCTGTCCATGTTTAAAGTGATGAATCATTCTTTAGTGAGGTATACATTTGGTCTTTCCCCCCAATTTTCTTTTTTCCCCCCAATTTTCTATGGAAAAAATTTATTTTTCATATTAATTGACCAATTTCTTTATATATGCTACGTAGGAATCTCTTGTCTTTCATATGTATTGTATATTTTTCGAGTTTGTGGCTTTTCTTTCAGTTTTTTTGTGATCAGATTTTCTTTTGATGATTAGATTTTTCTATTTTAAAGCAGCCAAGGTTTTAGTTCTTTTTCTATGTTTTTTTTAAAGGTTTTATTTTAATTCCAGTTAGTTAACATACAGTGCTATATTACTTTCAGGTGTACAATATAGTGATTCATTAATTCCAGACATTATTCAGTGCTCATCAGGACAAGTGCTTTCTTTAATCTCCTTCACCTATTTCACCCATCCCCCTACTCACCTCCCCTCTGGTAACCATCAGTTTGTTCTCTATAATTAGAAGTCTGTTTCTTAATTTCTATCTCTCTATCTCTCTTTCTCATTTTTTCCCCTTTACTTGCTTGTTTTGAAAAAAACCACAATATGAATGAGTAAGGACAATCAACTGACACAAACACTGAGATGAATCAGAAGTTGGAATTTGATATAACAAAGATTTCAAAGGAGCCACCATAAAAAAAAAGTTTCAAAAACAACTAAAAGTTGTCTTGAAATGAAAAAAATAGAAAATCTTAGCAAAGACATAGAAGTTATAAACAAGAATTATAAACTTAAAAATACAATAACATAAAAGCTAGTTGAATGGCTGGATAGAAGAATGGACAGAACAGAGGATATGATACTGAAGAATAGTCAAAAAGGTGCAAGAAGTATGCTTTGAAAACTACAAAGCACTGTTGAAAGAAATTACAGAAGACTTAAGTAAACGTGAAGACAGCCCAAGTTCATGAGTAGGAAGAGTTAAGATGTAGGAGAATTAGGGCACTCTAAGCTTGTCTTGTCCCTCTAATACAGTTAGATAGTTATCAAATAACTCTGAACACCCAGGAAAGCACGTAGAGATTTGAGAGAACAAAAACTGCAAATCTTTCTTTTTTGTATATTTTTTTATTGGAGTTTGATTTGCCAACATACAGCATAACACCAATGCTCATCCCGTCAGGTGCCCCCCTCAGTGCCTGTCACCCAGTCACCCCATCCCCCCGAAAGACTACAAGTAGAAAAGCCACCACCTTTTGGTACATAGGAGGTATGGAGACTTGAATTCAGGGAAAGAGAGCTGTGGATACAGTGGTACGGAAGAAAGTATTACAACCAGTGAAATGCAAAATTGGAGCTTTTAGAAGTCTGCTACTAGGGGGGACATGCCTAGCTTAAAGGTGCTCGGGTGGCAAAGTAGGGTGGAAGGCCAGGTGTGACACCTTGGTCTGAGGATCCCCTGAGTCATAAGAAAGAGTGGCAACTAAGTGCTGCATTGTTCCCAGGTATTAGGAGCATGAAAGCCAGCTGAGAACAGCAAGTCTAGGTGCCAGCTTTCTGTTCTGTGTTGCCATAAACTGTGAACCACTGGACAGTCATAATCCTGCGATCACTTTCCTGGGATAGGCCAGCAGGCAGCAAAAGTGTGGCAAGTTCTCCCCCAAAAGGAACAGTGAAGGTCCACGCCACAGAAGTCCCCAAAATTTGGTTTTGAAACTCAGTCATGCACCTGAGATTTAAAAAAAAAAAAAAAAGAAAAGAAAAGAAAAGCTCTGACACAGGAAGGGTGAAGGCAGGGATCTGATGGAAACCAGGAAGATGAGAGTGATTGATTGCTCTTCTGTGAGGGCTCACTGAAAAGTGGAAAGTGCAAACTTTCAGCTCTGAGGCTAGGAAGTAGGGCTTTGCCATATTTATCCTACTCATCAGCGCTGAAAAATCTTCAGGGAGCAAAACAGCGCCATCTAGTGGAATCCAGAACTGCGTATACCAAGCCCTGCCTCCTTGTGCCATGGAGGCACATTTCTTCTAGGGTAGGTCCACCTGAGTGAGCATCCGTGCAACAGGCCCTTACCCCAGAAGACAAGCACAAACAACTAGCTCACACAAAGTTTACTGATCATAGCGGGATGCAAAGCTTCAGCTCTAGGGGAAAATAGTATCTAGCCTCTCTCTCTCTCTCTCTCTCTCTCTCTCTCTCTCTCTATATATATATATATATATATATATATATTTTTTTTTTTTTTTACCTGAATTGTATTTAATTTTACTTTCCTGTGTTGGGACCTAGATTCTTTTAACAAGCAGACTAAAAATACACCCAGGATCTATTTTGTTGTTGTTGTTGTTTCTTTTTCTTCTTTTCTTTTCTGGACAAAATGATGAGACAAAGAAATTCACTCCAAAAGAAAGAACAGGAGTAGGACTCCTGGCAAGGAATTTAATCAATATAGATATAAGTAAGAAGTCTGAACTAGAATTTAAACGAGTATAAGGATAGTAGCTGGGCTTTTTTTAAAAAGCATAGAAGACACTCTGGAATCCCTTACCGCAGAGATATAAGAGCTAAAATCTAGTCAGGCCAAAGTTACAAATGCTATAACCAAGATGCAATCCCAAGTGGAGGCCATAAAAATGAGAAGAGAAGGCACTGGGTGGCTCAGTTGGTCAAGCATCTGCCTTCAGCTCAGGTCATGATCCTGGAGTCCCAGGATTAAGCTCCACATTGGGCTTCCTGCTCAGAGGAAAGCCCACTCCTCCTTCTCCCTCTGCACCTCCCCTTGCTTGCTCTTTCTCTCTTGCTTGCCCTTTCAAATAAATAAAATATTTAAAAAGAAAAACGATGGATAAAACAGAGGAGTGAATCAATGATATAGAAGATAAAATTATGGAAAATAATGAAGCTGAAAGAAGAGGGAAAGAAGGGTAATGGACCTTGACAAAGGTAGACTTAGGCAACTCAGAGACTTATTTAAAAATAGCAACATGAGGGGGGAGGGGCAAGATGGCGGAAGAGCAGGGTCCCCAAATCACCTGTCCCCACCAAATTACCTAGATAACCTTCAAACCATCCTGAAAATTTACGAATTCGGCCTGAGATGTAAAGAGAGACCAGCTGGAACGCTACAGTGAGAAGAGTCCGCGCTTCTATCAAGGTAGGAAGACGGGGAAAAAGAAATAAAGGAACAAAAGGCCTCCGAGGGGGAGGGGCCCCGCGAGGAGCCGGGCTGAGGCCGGGGCGAGTGTCCCCAGGACAGGAGAGCCCCGTCCCGGAGGAGCAGGAGCTGCACCAACCTTCCCGGGCGGGCGGAAAGGGGCTCGCAGGGAGTTGGAGCAGGACCCAGGAGGGCGGGGATGCCCTCGGGCTCCCGGGGACACTAACAGACACCTGCGCCCCGGGAGAGTGCGCCGAGCTCCCTAAGGGCTGCAGCGCGCACGGCGGGGCCGGAGCAGCTCGGAGGGGCTCGGGCGGCGGCTCCGCGGAGGGGGCTGCGGGGCGGGAGCGCGAATCCCACAGCGCAGGCCCCGGAGCACAGGGCGCCGGGACACAGCCCAGGATCCGGCCTCCCCCTGGGACAGGCAGAGGCCGGGAGGGCCCAGGACAGCAAGGACGCTCCTGCCCCGAGCTGAGCACATCAGCGGCCCCGCCCCGGAGCCTCCAGGCCCTGCAGACGGGGAGAGCCGAGAGCCCCGAGCCCCGTAGTTCCTGCGGAGGCTGAATCCAGGCTTCCAGAGTTGCCATAGCAACTGCGGCTGATCCTCCTGGGGCCCCACGGGGTAAACAACCCCCGCTGAGCCCGGCAGCAGGCAGGGGCAAAGCAGCTCCCCCAAGTGCTAACACCTGAAAATCAGCACAGCAGGCCCCTCCCCCAGAAGACCAGCTGGACGGACCAGTGATACTCCCCCGTGTTCCAATACAACTTGTTTTTGGCCACTCTGCACTGAGCAAAATGACTAGAAGGAAAACCTCAACTCAAAAGAAAGAATCAGAAACAGCCCTCGCTCCCACAGAGTTACAAAATCTGGATTACACTTCAATGTCAGAAAGCCAATTCAGAAGCACTATTCTACAGCTACTGGTGGCTCTAGAAAAAAGCATTAAGGCCTTACGAGACTTCATGACTGCAGAATTTAGATCCAATCAGGCAGAAATTAAAAATCAATTGAATGAGATGCAATCCAAACTAGAAGTCCTAACGACGAGGGTTAACGAGGTGGAAGAACGAGTGAGTGACATAGAAGACAAGTTAATGGCAAAGAGGGAAACTGAGGAAAAAAGAGACAATCAATTAAGGGACCATGAAGACAGATTAAGGCAAATAAATGATAGCCTGAGGAAGAAAAACCTACGTTTAATTGGGGTTCCCGAGGGCGCCGAAAGGGACAGAGGGCCAGAATATGTATTTGAACAAATCCTAGCTGAAAACTTTCCCAATCTGGGAAGGGAAACAGGCATTCAGATCCAGGAAATAGAGAGATCCCCCCCTAAAATCAATAAAAACCGTTCAACACCTCGACATCTAATAGTGAAGCTTGCAAATTCCAAAGATAAAGAGAAGATCCTTAAAGCAGCAAGAGACAAGAAGTCCCTGACTTTCATGGGGAGGAATATTAGGGTAACAGCAGACCTCTCCACAGAGACGTGGCAGGCCAGAAAGGGCTAGCAGGATATATTCAGGGTCCTAAATGAGAAGAACATGCAACCAAGAATACTTTATCCAGCAAGGCTCTCATTCAAAATGGAAGGAGAGATAAAGAGCTTCCAAGATAGGCAGGAACTGAAAGAATATGTGACCTCCAAACCAGCTCTGCAAGAAATTTTAAGGGGGACTCTTAAAACTCCCCTTTAAGAAGAAGTTCAGTGGAACAATCCACAAAAACAAGGACTAAATAGATATCATGATGACACTAAACTCATATCTGTCAATAGTAACTCTGAACGTGAATGGGCTTAATGACCCCATCAAAAGGCGCAGGGTTTCAGACTGGATAAAAAAGCAGGACCCATCTATTTGCTGTCTACAAGAGACTCATTTTAGACAGAAGGACACCTACAACCTGAAAATAAAAGGTTGGAGAACCATTTACCATTCAAATGGTTCTCAAAATATACCCTAAAAACTATAGAACACTTCTGAAAGAAATTGAGGAAGACACAGAGAGATGGAAAAATATTCCATGCTCATGGATTGGCAGAATTAATATTGTGAAAATGTCAATGTTACCCAGGGCAATTTACACGTATAATGCAATCCCTATCAAAATACCATGGACTTTCTTCAGAGACTTAGAACAAATTATTTTAAGATTTGTGTGGAATCAGAAAAGACCCCAAACAGCCAGGGGAATTTTAAAAAAGAAAACCATATCTGGGGGCATCACAATGCCAGATTTCAGGTTGTACTACAAAGCTGTGGTCATCAAGACAGTGTGGCACTGGCACAAAAACAGACATATAGATCAATGGAACAGAACAGAGAACCCAGAAGTGGACCCTGAACTTTATGGTCAACTAATATACGATAAAGGAGGAAAGACGATCCACTGGAAGAAAGACACTCTCTTCAATAAATGGTGCTGGGAAAATTGGACATCCACATGCAGAAGAATGAAACTGGACCACTCTCTTGCACCATACACAAAGATAAACTCAAAATAGATGAAAGATCTAAATGTGAGACAAGATTCCATCAAAATCCCAGAGGAGAACTCAGGCAACAGCCTTTTTGAACTTGGCCACAGTAACCGGAGAAGGACAAACAGTGTATGTTCTCATTCATTTGGGGAATATGAATAATAGTGAAAGGGAATATAAGGGAAGGGAGAAGAAATGTGTGAGAAATATCAGAAAGGGAGACAGAACATAAAGACTTCTAACTCTGGGAAATGAACTAGGGGTGGTGGAGGGGGAGGAGGGCGGGGGGTGGGGGTGAATGGGTGACGGGCACTGAGGGGTACACTTGACGGGATGAGCACTGGGTGTTATTCTGTATGTTGGTAAATTGAACACCAATAAAAATTAATTTATAAAAAAAAAAAAAAGAAAATCCAGCAGTATGTTTGTGATGTTTGTGGCCAGGGAAGTCATCAGATTTAGCACCTCATGTTTTGAAGGGGGCTGGTTAGGTAGACACCATTTGCCTATCATATACCAAAATTCCACACTCCTGGAAAGCAGATATTCAGCATAAACCATAGTGTTTGTACAATCAGTTTTAGCACAGTCACTTACCCTTATCATTTAGGGAAAGTTTTGTGGGGTTTTTTTTTTTGTTTTGTTTTTATAATAGATTTTTTTATTGGTGTTCAATTTGCCAACATACAGAATAACACCCAGTGCTCATCCCGTCAAGTGCCCCCCTCAGTGCCCATCACCCAGTCACCCCCACCCCCCGCCCTCCTCCCCTTCCACCACCCCTAGTTCATTTCCCAGAGTTAGGAGTCTTTATGTTCTGTCTCCCTTTCTGATATTTCCCACACATTTCTTCTCCCTTCCCTTATATTCCCTTTCACTATTATTTATATTCCCCAAATGAATGAGAACATATAATGTTTGTCCTTCTCCAATTGACTTATTTCACTCAGCATAATACCCTCCAGTTCCATCCACGTCAAAGCAAATGGTGGGTATTTGTCATTTCTAATGGCTGAGTAATATTCCATTGTATACATAAACCACATCTTCTTTATCCATTTATCTTTCGATGGACACCGAGGCTCCTTCCACAGTTTGGCTATTGTGGACATTGCTGCTAGAAACATCGGGGTGCAGGTGTCCCGGCGTTTCGTTGCATCTGTATCTTTGGGGTAAATCCCCAGCAGTGCAATTGCTGGGCCATAGGGCAGGTCTATTTTTAACTCTTTGAGGAACCTCCACACAGTTTTCCAGAGTGGCTGCACCAGTTCACATTCCCACCAACAGTGTAATAGGATTCCTTTTCTCTGCATCCTCTCCAACATTTGTGGTTTCCTGCCTTGTTAATGTTCCCCATTCTCACTGGTGTGAGGTGGTATCTCATGGTGGTTTTGATTTGTATTTAGGGAAAGTTTTGTATCAGTGTAGGGAACAGTTTACTAGCCAAGATACCATACACCAGCCAAGGGCCAACTTGCAAACATGCCTTTATTTTTTAAATTAATTTGCTGTTTTATGTAAATTCAATTAATTAACATATAGAGTATTATCATTTTCAGATAGAGAGTTTAGTGATTCATCAATTGCATATAACACCCAGTGCTCATTACATGTATTTCTTTTTTTTTTCATTACATGTATTTCTAAGAATAGTAGTCTTGGGCCTGCTTTTTGAACTCCTCTGCACAGTAGGTAACATACAAGATCAGATAGGTAAAGTTATCAGAGAGATCAAAACTATAAGGAGTCAAAATAGAATATCTAGACATAAAATATCTAGACATGCTAACAAAAATGAAAAATGCTTTTGACGGGCTCATCACTAGACTTGAGGAAAGAATCACAGAATTGAATATAAGACAGTTGAAGTTATATGAACTGAAATGCAAAGACAAAACAAAATGTAAAAACCCAGAATAAAGTATTCAAGAAGTGTAGGACAATAACAAATAGCATAACACATACATAATTTAAATCCCCCCCCCAAAAAAAGGAGATAAGAGAATAGAGCCAAAGAAATAATGGCAGAGAATTTTTCAAAATTAATGATAGACATCAAAATTACAGATCTAAGAAGTTCAAGGAACACAAAGCAGGAAAAAATACCACACACACACATACACATACACACACAAAGCATATTCAAACTGTTGAGAATTAAAGACCAAAAAGAAAATCTTGAAAGCAACCAGAGTGGGGAAAAATACACATTATCTACAAGGAACAAGCCTAAGAAGTATAATCGACTTCTAACATACAATTGGATTAAAAAAAAAATAGACACATCTCTCTCATACTCCCAGAAGTAGAGTATAATAGAAAAGAGAACTTAAGATTTTGAAGGTTAATTTTAGATGTTTTCCTTTTTGGTCTAATACTAGGTGTAGTAATGAAGAAAGATCTCTGAACTCAGGAGAAATATTTTAATGCCAGCATTGCCCTAAATGCATAATATTGAACAGCACAGTTACTGAGCCGTGATTTTTCTCATTCATAACGTGGAGATGATATTAACCATTTGCATAGTTTTTCATGGGAATTTAAATAGAAAAAATGTATGTAAGTGGTATGAATTTTTGATACATGTAATATTTGACTTGTGTTAATTTTCCTATAGGAGTACCAGCTTATAATTGGACTTCAAAACTGGATCATCTGGGCTGCCTATTTCTTCACATTCTTCTTTTTTTATATCATTATTATCTCTTTGATATGTGTTTTATTCTCTGCCAAGGCAAGTATCTAATTTCATGCTGTCCAGTAAAAATACCACAAGTCATATATGTAATACTGGAAGGTTTTTTAGTGGCCAGTAGAAAATTTTAAAACTATAAAGAACAGGTGAAATTATGATTTTTTTTAATTTTTATTTATTTATGATAGTCACAGAGAGAGAGAGAGAGGTGCAGAGACACAGGCAGAGGGAGAAGCAGGCTCCATGCACTGGGAGCCCGACGTGGGATTTGATCCCGGGTCTCCAGGATCGCGCCCTGGGCCAAAGGCAGGCGCCAAATTGCTGCGCCACCCAGGGATCCCTGAAATTATGTTAATGATATTTTAAATTTAGCCTAATATGAACAAATTATTAATTGAATATAGAACCAATTTTATTTTATTTTTTAGAACCAATTTTAAAATTAAGAGTTTTACATTATTTTTATTTTATCTTATTTTATTTATTTTTATTTATTTGAGAGAGAGAGAGAGAGAGAGGGAGAACATGAGCAAAGTGAAGTGGCAGAGGGAGAAACAGACTCGCCACTGAGCAGTGATGCCAGGATCGTGACCCAAGTCAAAGGCAGATGCTTAACCAACTGAGCCACCCAGGCACCCCTGATCCTTTTTGTACTGTGTATAAAACATGCACTCTAGTGTATGTTTTATATTTACAGCATATCTGAATTCATATACTATATTTTCATCAGAAATACTTGATCTGTATTAAACGCTGCCTTCATTTTTTAATCTAAAGAGAAATAAATGAAAAAAATTAAGTCACACTTGCTACATTTTAAGTGTTTGTTAGCTACATGTGTTTAATAGCTTCTGTGTTAGACATCTTCTAGTTGATTGCAGCCTTACCCTAGCTATTTTTGCTGTGGAAAGTCAGAGGCTGCTGTATATCTGAGAAAAAAACATAAACCTTTATGTAAAAAATAAATTACTTAGTTAATTTTCCATCTCTTTGAGTTTCAATCGCTGAGTAGTGATCTATCTCATTAGGGCTATCATTTTCTCTTTCTTCTCTTATGGTTATGTGATAGTATTTATGGTGTACCTTACATGATGTCATAATTGTTTTCTTGTAGATTTTCAGGGAGCCAATCTTTCGCTTCAGTGACAGTAGTTTCATCTTTGTCTTTCTTATGTGTCATGCCATTGCTTCAATATTCTTTGCATTTATGGTTAGCACATTCTTCAATAAAGGTAAGTCTAAAACTCACCCTGTAACAGATTTTTTGGGTGTTTATTAAATTCCACTATAATTAATATACAGTGTTAAATATATTAGTTTCAAGTGTACAATACAGTGATTCAACAATTTTGTACATTACTCAGTGCTCATCACAATGAGTGTGCTCTTAATCCCCTTCACCTGTTTCACCCATCCCTTCAAAAAGTTAAAAAACTACCCTGCGATTCAGTAATCACAGTACTGGGGGTGTCTATCCCAAAATACAAAAACACTAATTCAAAAGGATACATGCACCCCTATGTTCATAGCATTATTTACAATAGCCAAAATGTGGAAGCAGCCCAGATGTCAATCAGTTGATAAACAAATAGAGAAGGTGTGGTGTATGAATATACAACGGAATATTATTCAGCCATAAAAAAGAATGAAGTCCTGCCATTTACAAGATGTGGATGAAGCTAGAGAGTATTATGCTAAAAATAAGTAAGTCAGAGAAAGACATATGCCATATGATTTCACTCATATGTGAATTTAAGAAACAAAACAAATGAGAAAAAGGAAAAAGAGGGAGATAAACCAAGAAACATACTCTTACTTACGGAGAACAAACTGAATGTGACCAAAGAGGAGGTGAATAGAGAGGTAGGGGAAATAGGGAATGGTACCCTTATCATTATGAAAAAAATAAAAAGATAAATTAAAAAGATAAATAGATAAACAAACAATCACTGTCATATTCACTATAACATTATTCACAATGGCCAAGACATGGAAGCCACCTAAATGTCCTTCGTCAGGTGAATGGTTTAAAAAAATGTGGTATATAATACAAAGAGTTTTTTTTTCTGCCTTATAAAAGAAGGAGATTCTGCCATTTGTAAAAACAGAAACCTAGAGGCCATTGTTAAGTGAAACAAGCAAGATACAGGAAAACAATACTATATGATATATACATATATATATACACACACACACACACACTCAGACAGCCTAGAATGGTGGTTGCCAGGAAGTTGGGGAAGAGGGAAGCAAGGAGGTATTAGTCAAAGGGTAATAGCATTAGAGTTTCATTATGCAAGATGAATAAGTGCCTTAAACATCTACAACATAGTGCCTGTAGTTAACAGTACAGTACTGTACACTTAAAAAGCTTGCTAAGAGGTACCTTTTATGTTAAGTATTCACATCACAAAAAAAGAAATAATGAGGACAGAGGGAGAGAAAAAGAGAGCAGATGGAAACTTTGGGAGGTGATAGGTATGTTTATAGCATAGATTGTGATGTATTCACAAGTATTCACAGGTGTACATACCTACCTCCAAACTCATCAAATTGTTTACACTAAGCATGTACAGCTCTTTATATGTCAGTAATATCTCAATAAAGTGATTGAAAGAAAGAAAAAGATAGTTTATATCATTGTAATTTAATGTGAGTGTCTTTTTAAGTTTGTCTTATTTATTTTTTTGTTTCAAGATTTTATTTAAATTCTAGTTGGTTAGCATATAGTATAATACTGGTTTCAGGAGTGGAATTTGGTGAGTCATCTCTTCCACATAACACCCCATGCTCATTACAGCAACTGCCCTCCTTAATACCCACCAACCATTTAGCCAATCCCCCCACCTCCCTCCATCAACCCTCATTTGTTCTCTGTAGTTAAGAGTCTCTTATGGTTTACCTCCCTCTCTTTTTCTTTCCCCTTTTGCCCATGTTCATCAGTTTTGTTTCTTAATTCCACACGTGAGTGAAGTCATATGGTATTTGTCTCTCTGACTTGTTTCATTTAGTAGTTCCATCCATGTCATTGTATATAGCAAGATTTCATTCTTTTTGATAGCTTAGTAATATTCCACTATATATTGTTGATAATGCTGCTATAAACATCAGGGTGCATGAGTCCCTTCGAATCAGTATTTTTGCGTCCTTTAGGTAAATGCCTAGGAGTGCAATTGCTGGGTTTTAGGATAGTTCTATTTTTAACTTTTTGAGGAACCTTCATACTTTTGTCCAGAGTGGCTGTACCAGTTTGCAATCCCAGTGTAAAAGGGTTCCCCCTTTCTCCATATACTTGCCAATATCTGTTGTTTCCATTGTCGTTAATTTTAGCCATTCTGACAGATGTGAGGTGGTATCTCATCATAGCTTTGATTTGTATTTCCCTGAAGCTGAGTGATGTTGAGCATCTTTTTATGTGTCTTTTGGCCATCTGGGTGTCTTCTTTGGAAAAAGGTCTATTCTTGTCTTTTGCCCATTTCTTAACTGGATTATTTGTTTTTTGGGTGTTGGGTTTGATAAGGTCTTTATATATTTTGGATGCTAACCCTTTATCAGATAATGTCATTTGCAAATATCTTCTCCCATTCCATAGGTTGCCTTTTAGTGTTAATTGATTGTTTCCTTCAACATGCAGAAGCTTTTTATCTTGAAGTCCCAAAAGTTCATTTTTGCTTTTGTTTCCCTTCCTCCAGCAACATGTCTAGTAAGAAGGTGCTATGGCCAAGATGGAAGAGGTTACTGGCTGTGTTTTCCTCCAGGATTTTTATAGTTTCCTGTCTCACATTGAGGTCTTTCATCCATTTTGAATTTATTTTTGTGTATGGCATAAGAAAGTGGTCCAGTTTCATTCTTCTGCATGTGGCTGTCTAGTGTTCCCAGCACCATTTGTTGAAAAGACTTTTTTCCATTGGATGTTCATCCCTACTTTATCGAAGATTAGTTGACCATGATTTGAGTGTTTTTACTTCTTCCTTGGTGCTGATTTTATGTTGTCTTAATGATAATCCTAACAAGAAGTCTTTTTCTAGTCTATAGATCTCATGCTTATGGACATAACCACATCTAACTCTCAGTAGTTATTATCTATTTATTCAACTATTCTTTATTTTAGGCATCATGATTTTGTTTGGAAGCATGTGTTTAAAACTTCATAAAGAACTTTATATTCTACCCAATACTTCAAACTTTGGGAACATTAATAATTATTAATAATTAATAATAAATAATAATGGTATACATTTATAATTTTTCAAGCCAAGTGCTCATGAGTAAATCTTTGTTTAAATGACTAAATATTCTATACATTAACTGTTAGTTAATTCATTTTTAACACATATTCAGGGAGTATATACTGTGTGCCAGACATCAGTGATAGAAGGGTGAAAAAGAAAGACAAATATCTTTCCCTCATAGAGCTTACTACCCTATACTGTAGTAGAAAAAGTTATTCATTATTTTGCATAAGCTTTAAACTGACCTTATAATTTCCTTATTTGCAGTCCATTTGGCTGCTTCTGCTGGAAGTCTCCTATATTTTGCCACTTTCTTTCCATTTAATACCATTATTAAATACTACGGACACATGACCCTCACCCAGAAAGTGACTGTCTGTCTCAGCTCAAATGTTGCATTGGCACTGGGAATTAGTCGTCTGCTCAAATTGGAATTAAAACGTAAGTGTTTGCCATGCAAATCTTGCCTTTGCTGTTTGATTCTTGAAAGGTGGAATTGCGGCAGCATGGGTGGGACAGTGGGTAAGGAAGTAAGAAAATCTTATACAAATTATTTATCCCTATATTTGTTTATTTATTGTTAAAGACAGTTATGTGAACTAAAAAAAAAAATCAAAGGAGTGAAAAATTAGAAGTTCCCATCTCTCCACAAGAAGCCTCTGTTAGTCTTATCTACAGTCCTTGTTCTTTAAAAAAAAAAAAAGATTTTATTTATTTATTCATGAGAGACACAGAGAGAAGCAGAGACATAGGGAGAGGGAGAAGCAGGCTCCATGCAGGGAGCCCGACGTGGGACTGGATCCCGGGTCTCCAGGATCATGCCCCGGGCTGAAGGTGGCGCTAAACCACTGAGCCACCCGGGCTGCCCCTGACCTTGTTCTTTATTCTTGTCACTTTGCTTTCTACTTGAACTTTAGGATGACTTTGTCAAAATTTATGAAAAATCTTACTGGGATTTAGTGGGAATTTCATTGCACTTGTTGATTAATGAAGATGATTGAGGACTTAATTTTTTCACCTGTGAACAAAATCCTGTGCCAGTCAGAATATACATATGATTTCTATATGGATACTTGCATTATTCTTTCTTTATATATGAAACATTAAAAATTTCACTAGAATTTATCTAGATGTGGGGTTTTCATTGGCTTAATCTGCAATAGGATGTATACATTTTGGTTTTCTAATTGAATTATTTTTTATTGGATTAGTTTATTGTATTTAGTTATTGTTTCTTTTCTATATTATTCCTATATAGGTAGGAGGATTTCTCACGGTACAGCAGACTTCATAAAACTTGCATTCTACCTCTTTTGTTGTCGTTTCTAATTTTCTGTTCACTGCCTCTCAAAATTGCTTTCATTTTGATGATTTTTAATACTACTAAATATTATTTTCTTAAATGGTTACCTTTTTATAGCTTTTTCAAAGATGCAGTGCTGATGAATATCCTTCTTATGGTGCTGGTCTATAGGAAAGGGAGGCTGAAGCTGAAGAAAAGACAAGTTTCATTGACCATATTCATGAAATGTCTTTTTTGGAGTTCACTGCAAGCCCCCATGCTTTTTAGTTGTGCTACACTCTGTCCAGAAATAGAAGAAATAGAACAAAGGATTACCTTTTTTTGATGACTTTCTTTTTCTCTTCTATCAGAACTTTTCTTTCTTCTTTCTTTCTTTCTTTCTTTCTTTCTTTCTTTCTTTCTTTCTTTCTTTCTTTCTTTTTCTTTCTTTCTTCCTTCCTTCCTTTCTTCTTTCTTTCTTTCTTTCTTTCTTTCTTTCTTTCTTTCTTTCTTTGTCTCTTTCTTTAAGAGAGTGCACACATGTGTGAGCAGAGGAAGAGGAGCAGAAAGAGAGAGAAAGAGAATCTCAAGCAGGCTCATCATTGGGCGCAGAGCCTGACGCAGTGCTCCATCTCATGACCCTGGGATCATGACCTGGGCCAAAATCAAGAGTTGAGACACTTAACCAACTGAGCCACCAGGTGTCCCAGAACTCTATTTAAGCAAAACATCTTTTTCTTCTGCTTTGTAGTCAGCATTCATCTCTAGTGCTATTGAATATTTTTCCAGATTTGTGTATTCTGACGGTAGTTTAAATGTGAATTTAGGATGAGGGGATAGAAAAATAGGATCTAATAGGCTCGCTTTTTTCATTATTTTTGTTTCATTCTCTGACCTCGTCTTAGTAATTCTTATTTATTTTTGTAGATTGTGAAGTTAGGTAGGAAGAACCCATTGTTATTACATATTTCATCATTTTCTTAGATGACTTAAATAATAAAGGTATTAACACATAGGTAATTTACAGTGACAGGATTTAAACTATCAATCTTTTTTCTTTGCTATTCACAGAGTAATCTATAGTATCTCCTTTTTGTTTCAGAAATTGGTGTTAGATGGGATAACATTTGGAGACCAGTCAACCTTGAGGATAACCTCATATTTGGCTATATTTTGTTAATGCTTTTACTTGATGCTTTCTTATATGGCATTGTGACCTGGTATATGGAAACCATCTTTCCAGGGCAGTGTGATGTGCCCCAACCATGGTACTTTTTTCTTTTGGTGAGTACTAATGCTGGTGTTACTGGAGAAAGCCATAGTCCTTATGAACCTATTTCATATAATATTTATAGTCCAATCAAAAGGTCTGGTAGAATCATTTTTTTGTGTATACCAGCCATATGAAAATTATAGCCATTTCTTGATCTCTTAAAGCCTTCCACATGTCCAAATGTACAATCTGTGGATAAGACACCATACATTAAGAACTATGAGTAATAGAACTCTTCTTCAGCCACATGGTACATAGTGGATTAGATTGGAGAATAAAGAAATCTGAAAGTCTGCAAAAGTTGTTCCCAGCTAAATAATATATGATGATTTCTTAGCTCCTAGTGAGTAAAGGATTGGGTATTTTCCATATCTGTGTTCTTACCACCTGTTTCCTTTCAAGGATTAGACCAGTTTACGTACAGTAGGAGAATTTCTGCATCTTGCCCTCTATACTCGTGCCATTATTGAATAATATGTAGTACAAAAATAGTATTCTGAGTGTGATAAAATGCACTGGCTGTAACTTCATTGTTGAGTAATTCCATTTTGTCCTTACTTCTGAACACTAACATTTCTTTTTTTTTTCCCCATTTATACCTTGTCTTTTATTTTATTTACATTTTTTTTAATTTAAATTCAATTTGCCAAAAAAAAATTCAATTTGCCAGCATATAGTATAACACCCAGTGCTATTCCATCAAGTACCCTCAGTACCTGTCACCCAGTTACCCCATCCCCCACCCAGTTCCCCTTCCGCAACCCTTTTTTTGTTTCCCAGAGTTAGGAGTCTCTCATGGTTTGAGGGGAACTGCATGGGAAAAATTAGAGAGGGAGACAAACCATGAACACTAACATTTCACAACGATTTTTGCTTCTAAATCCTAGAGATATAAATCATACATAATTTTGCTGCAAACATCAATTGCTGAAGGTATGCAAGAGCCACATAGTAAACCAAGCTAGAGTGTTTTCAAGTTTTTGTAGTACCTCTTTTCTTTTTTCACATTAAAATTTTTAATTAAGATGAAAGTCATGTAAGTTAAAATTAACCACTTTGAAGTGAAAAAAGCAGTGGAATTTAGTACATTTACAATGTACTTGCCCATATCTAGTTCCAAAATATTTTTATTACCCAAAAATAAAATTGTATACCCATTAAGAAGTCACATCCCATTTTTCCCTACCCAAGACTGTAGCAATCACTAATCAGCTTTCTTTTTCTATGAACTGATATCCTGGATGTTTCATATAAATAGAATTATGCAATGTGTGACCATTTGGGTCCGGCTTCTTTCACTTAATATAATGTTTTTGAAGTTTACATTAATATATGTCAGCACCTCACTCTTGGGTTGCTGAATAATATTCCATTGTATGTATATAGAACAATTCCTTTATCAACCTGTAGTTAGAAATGTAGGGCATCTTTTAGATGTTTGAATAGTGCTGCTGTGAATATTTGTCTATAAGTATTTGCTTGAATATCTGTTTCAGTTCTTTTGGGAATATACGTAGGAGTATAATTGCTAGTACTTAGGATAATTCTTTGTTTCATGTTTTCAGGAACCACTAAACTATTTTCTGCAATAGCTGCACCATTTGTACTTTCCCACAACCAATGTACTAGGGTTCCAATTTCTCCACAGCCTCACAAACCCTTGTTATTCTCTTTTCCCTTTATTATAACCATTCTTGTGGGATAAATGGTATCTCGTGGTTTTGATTAGCATTTCCCTAATGACTAATCATTTTTGAGATATTTTCATGGGCTTGCTTTTTGGCCATTGAACATGTTACTTACAGAAATGTCTATTCAAAGTCTGTGACTTTTTAAACTGGGTTATCTTTTTATATATTCTGGACAGTAGAGCCTTATCAGATACATGATTTATATATATTTTCTTTCATTCTGTGGATTTTCTTCTCACTCTCTTCTTAGTACTCTTTCATGGACAATAATTTTTGACTTTGATTAAAACCAATTTAAAAATCGTTTTATCGGTTGTTGTGAATTTTGTGTCACATCTAAGGAGGTATTGCCAAATCCAAAGTCATCAAAATTTACCCTTGTGTTTTCTTCTAGGAATTTGATGGTTAAAAAAAAAAGAATTTGATGGTTTTATCTGTTAAATTTAAACCACTGATCAATTTTAAGTTGATGTTTATATAGTATGAAGTAAGGATTCAACTTTATTCTTTTGGTTGTGGATATCCTTTTGTCCTAAAACCATTCTTTGAGAAGACTGTTCTTTCTGCATTGAGTGGTCTTAACACCCCTGTTGAAAATCAGTTGGCCATAGATGTATAGTTTCATTTTTGGATCCTCAGTTTTATTCCGTTGGCCCATATGTCTGTCCTTATGTCAGTACCACACTGTTTGATTACTATAGTTTTATAATAGATTTTGAAATCTGAAAGTGTAAGTCATCCAGCTTTTCTCTTCTTTTTCAAGATTGTTTTGGCTATTATGGAGCCCTGGAAGTTCCATAAGAACTTGAGAATCAGTTTTTCTATATCTGTAAAAGTGAATATTTATAGGAATTACTGTGAATCTGTTGATTACTTTAAGTAGTATTGCCATATTAAATATGTTGTCTTTCACAGGGTTTGGAATTTACTTGGAAGGGTCAGAGAGAGGTAAAATGAGACAGGAAAGGAAGGCAGCCAGAAAAGAGTATGTCTGCACTGTTTATCCCTGGAACCCAGTGATGCAGGGAGCTCTGGGAATCAGTGCAGAGAACACAGTGATGATCTCAGAATCACCCCTCCCCTAAAAATTGTCTTTCAGTCCATGAGCTATCTTTTTCTCTTTTAACTTTCCATTTATTGTCTTCATTAAATTCTTTCATTAAGGTTTTATAGTCTCAGTGTGTGTCATTCGCCATTCTGGTTAATTTTATTCCTAAGTATTTTACTCTTTTGGATGCTATTGTAAATAGAACTGTTAGAATAGAGTTTTCTTTTTGGATTGTTCATAGCTGATATACACAAACACAACTGGTGTATACATATTGATCTTGTACCCTGCATCTTTGCTGAATTTGTCTGTTAGCTCTCATAGTGTATGTAGGGGAGGATTCTCTGGGCACCTTAAATTGTAGTATCATGATATCTTCAAATACAGTTTTCCTCTCTTTTTCCAATTTGAATGTCTTTTATTTCTTTTTCTTGCCTTATTGTTCTGGCTAATATCCCAGGACAGTGGTGAATAGCAAGGATGAAAGCAGGTATCCTTGTCTTATCCCTGATTTTAGAAGAAAAGCTTTAAGTCTTTCACTCTTGAGTCTGATATTAGCTGTGGGTTTTTTCACAAATTCCCTAATGAATTTCAAGAAACTATTCCTAGTTTTCCAATTGTCTTTATCATGAGACACTTTGTCAGAGGCTTTATTTGCATCAGTTGAAATAATTGTATGTTTTCTTTCCCATTGACTCTGTTAATGTGATATATTTCATTGATTGGTTTTTGTATGTTGAAGTACCCTGCATTCCTGGGATAACTCCCACTTTGTTATGATGAATATTCCTTTTGATATGCTATTAGGTTTAATTGAGGAGTATTTTTTGAAGATTTTTAAATCTGTATTAATAAGGGATATTGGCCTGTGGTTTCTTTCCTTGTGATATCTTTGCCTAACTTTGGCATTTGCTTTTCAAGTAATGCTGAGTTCATAGAATGAGTTAGGAAGTGTTCCTTTCTCTTAAGCTTTTTTGACAGCTTGGAGAATAATTGTTGCTCTTGTTTAAATGTTAGGTACCAGTGAAGACATCTGGTCCTGGACTTTTCTTTGTAGGCAGGTTTTTTTCTTTAAAGATTTTATTTATTTATTCATGATAGATATAAGAGAGAGAGACAGAGACGTAGGGAGAAGCAGGATCCCCATAGGGAGCCCGATATGGGACTTGATCCTAGGACCCTGGGATCATGCCCTGAGCCGAAGGCAGATGCTTAACCACTGAGCCACCCAGGTACCCCTGTACGCAGATTTTGATTACTAAGTCAGTCGCTTTATTCATTATAGATCTGTTCAGATGGAATGCTTTGGTTCTGAAAGTTCATCTTGGTAATTTCATTTTGGCTTTCTTTGTAGCGCTCATACTGGCTTGGTGAAACAAAAATTAGAAAGAAAAAAGAAGTGAAAAATTGTGGACAAACTCCAAACAAGCATTTTGAGGCTGAACCTACTAGTTTGGTGGCAGGTATCCAGATCAAACATTTACACAAGGTATTTGTTTCAAAGGTCTCTTTCTCCTGCTAAGACTGAAAGCCATGTACTATACCCTGGGTTTGTAACTGGCCATTTCTAGAAAACACTTAAAATGCTTAATTAAGAGTCATAATCAATATAGTTCTAATTTAAGAGAGACATTCATAGAACATATAGATATATCCTTACAGCATAGTATTTACTCCATTCATCATGCTTACTTCTACTCTTTTCTGATAGGCTTAGAACAAGTGATAATTTGAATTTTGTAATAAATTCTTTATAGAATTTAAACTTGATGATACAATGATAACATTTGAGTGTGAGTGGAGGGGATGACACTAAATGTAGTTAAAAGGAAATCTCTCCAAAGAGATGACCTTTGAGCTGAAACCTGAAGAATGAGAGCTAATTATTTGAAAAGCTAAGTAAGAGAAGAATACCATAAGTAGACAAATAGCAAATTCAAAGACCCTGAGTGAGAAAGATGTTCATGTGTTTGAGGAACAAAAAGAAAACCAATATATTTAGAGGTAAAAGAATGATAGTAAATGGCTTCATTGGGAAGCCATTGAATGGTTTAAAGCACTGGAGGAATATTATGTATGTGTTTTAATGATCATTTTGACTACAATATGGAAAACAAGGTGTTGAAGAATGGGGACTTGAGAAGAAAAGTGGGAAAAAGAAGACTGGATGGTATTTTTGATAAGACTTGGATAAGGGTTGTGAAAGTGTACATAAGAGAAATGGACAGATCTAAAAGATTTCCAACAGAACTGAGAATACTGGGGGATAGTGGAGATAATTCCTAGAATGACAAGCTAGAGTAAGATATTAAAAACAGTAAGTCTGTTATTTACCAAGTTGTAGTAGATTTTTTTAAATAAATGTTTTTTCATTTGCTGCATGCCCTTAGGACAACTCCTAAATATTTTATGTGATTATTGTTTTGTTTTTTAATTTTCACGGCTTTTCTTGTTTCACTGGGGAATGTGTCTGTGGAGTTCTTCATGCTGATTTCCCGAAAGTAAAACTCTATCATCTATTTTTATGGAATTACTTTTCTTAAATTTGTTGAGAATGTTTTCACTTAGGTTAATGATGAATATTGATCTGTTGCTTTCATTTTTTGTAAGGCATTTTTCTAGTTTTGGTATTGGAATAATGCTAACCTCATAGAATGCATTGGGAAGTATTTCCTCTTTACTTTTCCAGAAGAGCTTTTGTACAATTTGTATTATTTAGTTTGCAGTTACTTGGGGATTTTCCAGAGATCTTTCTGGTACTAATTTCTAATCTAATTCTGATTCTGGTAAGAGAAGATACTTTGTATGACATGAATCCTTTAGATTTATTGATTCTTGTTTTATAGCTCAGTCAGTCATCTGTCTAAATACATGTTATATACATACTTGAAAATAATGTGTAATCTGCTATTCGTTCTTAGAGTAATACCTAAATGTTAGTTAAGTTAGTTGGTAATTTATTAAGTATTCTTTTTTTTAAGATTTATTTATTTATTCATTCAGAGAGAGCAAGAGAGAAGCAGAGACACAGGCAGAGGGAAAAGCAGGCTCCATGCAGGAAGCCCGATGTGGGACTCGATCCAGGGTCTCCAGGATCACCATCCCCCACCCCGGCTGCAGGCGGCGCTAAACCGCTGTGCCACCGGGACTGCCCTTATTAAGTATTCTATATCCTTTAATGATTCTACACATTCTAACAGTTATTGAGAGAAAAGTATTGAAGTCCTTAAAAATAACCACATTTTTCCTATTTTTCTCTGTAGCTCTTTGGCCTTATATTTTTCACTCTGTTATTGGGTGCACAAACATTTAGGAAAATTATGTGTTCTTGAAAAGTTGATCTCTTTATCATTATAAAATGATACACTTTATCCTTGGCAATGTTCTTCTCTTAAACGTACTTTTACTAATGTTATGGTAGCCAAACACCACTTTTTTGTTGTTGTTGAATTCTATTTTATTGTAATAGCACAACAACTTACAAGGTATCAGTTTTATTCCAATTCAGATAGTAAATTCAAACAGTTTTCTGGAAGTTTCTATAATTTATCATATTTGAAAAAAGCAATATCAGCTAGGCAATACCTATTTGTTTTTTAAACCACTCTATTGAAGTTTTAAAATACAAGAAGCTGAGTTCCAATCCAAGATGGCGATGTAGGTAGATCCTGAACTCGTCTTCTCCACAGACACAACAAATCTATACCTATTTATAGAGCATTTCCACCCGAAGAACTGAGAACTGCCTAAACAGCTTCTGCAAACAAGAGAGAGAACACATAGAAAATAACAAGCAAAAAAAAAAAAAAGAAAGAAAGAAAAGAAAATAGCAAGCAAGATAAAGACCATTCCTTTAAGTTTAGAAGAAGTAGCTGACATAGAAAACATAAAAAAGAGCCACTCAGGGGGGAGACTACAAAAACTGAAATTAAAACTATGCTAGAGAGAATCAACAGTAGATTAACAGATGCAGAGGCATGGATTGGTGATCAGGAAGACGGTAATGGAAAGCACCCAAGCTAAACAGCAAAAAGAATTTTTTTAAATGAAGATCAGTTAAGATATCTCTTGGACAACATCAAGTGAACAAACACTCACATTATATAGAGATCCCAGAAGAAGAGAAAAACATAGAGGTAAAACACTTATTTGAAGAAATAATAACTGAAAACTTTCCTAACCAGGGGAAAGAAACACAGACTCAAGTTCAAGAAACAAAGAATTCCAAACAAGATGAACTCAAGAAGGTCTGTACCATGGTACACAATAATTAAAATATCAGAGATTACATAATCCAGACTTTAAGCTATATTACAAAGCTGTAGTGATCAAACAGTACAGTACTGGCATGAAAATAGATACAGTATAGTTCAATAGAACAGAATAGAAAACCCAGAAATGAACCCACAACTATATGGTCAGTTAATCTTTGACAAAGCAGGAAGGAATATCCAATGGGGGAGGGAGGGAACACCTGGGTGGCTCAGTCAGTTGAGCATCTGCCTTTGGCTCAGGTCATGTTACTAGGGTCCTGGGATTGAGCCCCACCTGAGGCTCCATGCTCAGCAGGAGGCCTGCTTCTCCCTCTTCTCCCTGCTTGTGCTCTTTCTCACTATCTCTGTTGCTGTCTCTTTCTCTCAAATAAATAAATTAAATCTTTAAAGAGAAAAAAAAGAATACCCAATAGGAAAAAACCATCTTTTTAACAAATGGTGTCAGGAAAACTGGTCAGCTATATGCAAAAGAATGAAACTGAACCACTGTCTTGCACCATACACAAAAATAAACTCAAAATGCATTGGAGACTTAAATGTAAGACAGGAAACTACAAAAATCCCAGAGAAGGGGCACCTGGGTGGCTCATTCGGTTAAGTGTCCACCTCTTGGTTTCAGCTCAGGTCATGATCTCAGAATTGTGAAATTGAGCCCCTGGTCAGGCTCCATGGAGCCTGCTTAAGATTCTCTCTCTCTCTCCCTCTAGCCCTCCCCCTACCCAGCTTGTGAACTGTGCTCAGTCTCTCTCCAAAATAAAATTTTTTTTTCTAGAAAATACCACTGGCAATAAGATCTTGGCATGGCTGTAGGAACATCTTTCCTGAGGCTTTATCCTTTATTTATTTGTTTGTTTTGTTTGTTTTTAATTGTTTCTACCTCTATATCTTTTTAAAAATTCAGTTAGCTGATATAAAGTAAATAGTTTCGGATGTAGTGTGCAGTGATTTATTGGTGGCATATAACACCCAGTGCTCATCACATCACATGCCCTCCTTATGCCTATCACCAAATTATCCCACCACCCCCCACCTACTTCCCCTCTGTCCACCCTTAATTTGTTTCCTATAGTAAAGAATCTCCCATGGCTTTTCTCCCTCTCTGATGACTTCCCATTCTGTTTTCCCTCCCTTACCCTATGATCCTCTGCAATGTCTCTTATATTCCACAAATCATATGGTAATTGTTTTTCTCTGATTGACTTACTTCACTCAGCATAACACCCTCCAGTTCCATCCACATCAATTTAAATAGTAAGTGTTCATCCTTTCTGATGGTTGAGTAACATTCCATTGTTATATTACCATATCTTCTTTGTCCATTCATCTGTTGATGGACATCTTGGCTCTTTCCACAATTTGGCTATTGTGGACATTGCTGCTGTGAACATTGGGGTGCAGATGTTCCATTATTTCACTACATCTGTATCTTTGGGGTAAATACCTAGTGGTGCAATTGCTGAGTCATAGGGTCGCTCTATTTTTAACTTCTTGAGGAGCCTCCATACTACTTTTCCAGAGTGGCTGTACCAGCTTACACCAACAATATAAGAAAGTTCCCCTTTTTCCACATCCTCTCCAATATTTGTTTTTTCCTGTCTTATTAATTTTAGCCATTCTGACTGGTGTGAGGTGGTATTTCATTGTGGTTTTGATTTGTATTTCCTTGATGCCAAGTGATAGCATTTTTTCATGTGCATGTTGGCCATATGTAGGTCTTCTTTGGAGAAATGTCTCTTAGTGTCTTCTGCCCATTTCTTTACTGGATTGTTTTTTGGGTGTGGAGTTTGATAAGTCTTTTATAGATCTTGGATACTACCCTTTACCTGGTATTTCATTTGCAAATATCTTCTCCCATTTCATAAGTTGCCTTTTGGTTTTGTTGACTGTTTCCTTTGCTGTTCTGCTATATCTTTAACTACTTTTTTCTTTTTTCTTTTTCAGTGTCTAACCTGCATTTGTCAATATTTCATCAAGTGTATTTTCATTTTAGAAATTACAGTTTTCATTGCCATGAGCTGTTTTTAAAATATCTTCCATATTCTAGCTTTTTCAAAATATGACATACACTTATAATAATCATTTTAATGTGTTTCCTTATTTTAACATGTGTGTCAGTTTGGGGCTGATTTTAATTGATTTATATTTTCATTACAGGTCAAATTTTCCTACTTCAAATTTTTCGGGTTTTGGGTATTTTTATTTTCTATGAAAACTCTTGATCTTTGTTTTCAGAAGAATTAAGTTACTCTGAAATAGTTTGATACTTTCATTTCGGCATTGCTTAGTCCACAGATGATTATTCTCCACTATTGATTCAGTCAGCCCCTTCTTGTAATCTACCCAATGCCCTATGAATCTTGAAATTTTCTAGTCTGGCTAGGGAATAAGCACACTTTCTGACCCTAGATGAATGCCAGCAGCTGTTCCCTCTCACTTTTAAATGTTTTTTTGTAGTTTCCTCGCATGCTTATGTTGATCAGTTCTTACCAGAATACTCTAGGAACTCTCACTTTAGTACTCCAGGTTACTTTCACCTCAGTAGACTCTGAGCTCCCTATCTTCAACTCCAGTAGGTTGCTTGACTGTGCCTGAGTTACTGTCTCTGTTCCTTGGCTTTGACACTATCTAGGTAAGCTGGGGTAATTGTAGGGCCGACCTTGTTTTCCAACTCTTAGGAATCACTATCATTAGTTACCTAATGTCCATTATAAACATTTGTTTTACACGTAATACTACCACACCTCTCATTTTTTAGGCTCTTTGTTTTATTCATAATGTTGATCATAATCTATAATTATTATTACATTCCTATACTTTTTTTCTTAACTTCCTTTACAAAGGCTTCATTGAGGTGGGGCTATGCATAACTGATTCCTAGATATAACTCTATCATATAACACAATGCCTGATAATTTAGTAAATAGTTATTGAATAAAGAATGGTCACCCCTGGTCTAAATTAACTAATTGGACTTGGTGACTTATTGCATATAGTAGTTAGTAACAATGAGAAGTGCAGGATTAAATGTATATTTCTGTTTTGTACATCTAAGTGAATATTGGAATCATTTTCTAACAGGGAGTACAGCTGAGAAGCATATTTTCATGGGATGATGATGAGCAGAGTTTTAGATATATTGAATTTGAGATTTTTATAAGTATTTAAATTTATGTTTCTGGTAGACTTTTGAAAATGCAGAGCTATAGCTTTGGGGAGACATAGTGATGAAGCAGATTGTAGTATTACCAGCATGGGAGAAAATTTGTTTCTCTAGGGCAGTTGTTTTCAACTAGGGGTGATTCTGTCCCCTCAGAGAACATCTGACAACATGTGGAGATATTTTAATTGTCACAACTAAGATAGAGAGAGGTGAAGAGTGCTAATGGCATCTAGAAGGTAGCGGCCAGAGAAGCTGCTAAACATGCTACTGAGGCACAGGAAACCCCTCCAAAACAAAGTGTCAGTAGTGCTACTGTTGAAAAACCCATGCCTAGGGATAGTTTGTAGATGTATTCTCTTGTCAGTTTGGCAACATTACTACCAACTTTTCTATGATATCTCCTGCATTGCAAAAGAAAACCCATTAACTATATTCCCTCAAATTCCCTCCTCTATTTGGTTTCTAGTTAGGATTTGCCAATAGGAGGCACTTACAGACAGACACATAAGCAGATTTTAGATTTATCTAGGTAAGTTCTTGGGAACCAAGGGCTTTCTAATTTCAGAATGAAACAGTAGGAGTTTTCAAGAAACCTTTTAGAAGCATTGTCTTATATGTCCTATAAAAGATTAGATAAATATTTTAGGCTCCATGGGCCACATACAGTGTCTATCCCATATTCTTTTTCTTTTTTAATAAGCCTTGAAGACTATAAAAAACCATTCTTAGTTCATTGGCCATACAAAAACATATAATGGGCCATATTTGATTTTTCCAACTCCTCCTTAGAATCTCAAGAATTACCAGGCATGTTATTGTGAATCACCAAACTTCTAGCTAAAATCATAGCATCAACTTTTCTGATCATTGATTACAACTTTTATGAGATTTCCTAGCTCTTACTACAATTAAATAACCCCATAATTACTATATTATACTCTTCATACATAGAATGTAGAGAGGTCTCTGTTTTCCTTACCAAATATGGATCCCACTGTGTCTTCACACCTATTTTGCCTAATGTACAAACTCAGTGCACCTACAAATTTTGTTCCTCGTTCACATTATCTTTTTTCACAAGTTACATAGTATGTTTCTCCTTTTTTTAAATTTTTTTTGTTGACATATCATTTACACATAGAATTACATTAGTTTCAGGTGGACAACATAGTGATTCAACAAGTCTGTATGTTATACTGTGCCCACCACCAGCATAGCTACTATCTGTCACCCTACAATTCTATTACAGTACCATTGACCATATTCTCTGTGCTGTACCTTTCATCCCCGTGACTTGTTATTGGATAACTGGAAACCTGTACCTCCTACCTTCACCTGTTTTATAATGTTGTTTCTTCTAAGGATAGAGTATATGAACGTTTTGTCTTTCATAAATGATGGTGATAGATACCAAGTTATTCTTTCTTTTATCTCACAGGAATTTGGTGACAAAGTAATAGTAAACAACATGTCCTTGAATTTAAGGGGCAAATCACTATTCTTCTAGGGCAAAATGGGGCAGGAAAAACCACAATCTTGTCCCTTCTCACAGGTACGTATTCAGCTGTTTACAGCAGAAGTCAGCTTCCTTCTAAGACTTCAAATCAATCAGCACCTTGTGATATTGTGTGTATTGTCGTTTCAGTGTGGCAATTTTTATTACACTTTAACTATTTACAACCAGAGTGCTCTTAGTAATGTAATACATTCATTTATTCAGTAAAAATATTTATATAATTTTTTCATAGGAATTGGTAATACAGTGGTGATTACAGCATTGTTACACTCAATTTTGTATACTGGTGGAGATATAGAAAAGAAACTTGAAACTTAACATCATAAGTCGGAAAGGAGATGTTATGTGTGGGGTGCTATTCAACTAAGAGAATGGCACATAACCTATTTTGAGGGTGAGAAAAAGGACCGTGTCATCAAATCTGAGACAAATAGGATGTATGAAGGCCTGCGAATGAATTATAAGCAAAGACTAGGAGACTTGAAAGCAGGGAACTGACTAGATCAGAGGTGGAATTTGAATAATAGCAAAAGATAAAACTAGAGGAATCTTCAAAAGGTCAAATCATGAAAGGTTTGGGGGAAACCATCCTATGAAGATTAGAATTTATGCTGACTGCAATGAGAAGCCATGGAAGAATATTTTATGTAGGTTTATATATTAGACACACTGCATTCACCAGAAATGAAGAATGGACAAGGAATACTAGGGACAATTAGGATAGTGAATCCCTAGTTGTGTGTGAGGTTAGCATAAGTTCTCAAGGCCGGAGCAGAGCTGAGCTTAGTAGTTGTGATATAATAGCTTCTCCTTTGAAACTGAAATAATGCCCAAACTAGCTCAGGAAGGTAGATACTACCCACATTATCTGCTGTTTTATATATTTGAACTGATTTTGTCTTAAGTCTCAGTTAAAAGCCTTCTAAACAATATGACTACCTAGCTAGTATCACAAGATTATGATTTGAGTTATTAACTTCATGATAATATATGGATTATGTATAGTTGATATGCTTTACATAAATTATCTTGGAACACACCCCATCTTCTGCGTGTTATCTCAGAACACATACAATGCACTTTTCCATCTGCATGTGCTCCTTTCTCTCAATGGGAGTGCCTGGACTACCTCTCCACCTATTGAAATCCTATTCATACACCAAGATGGAGATCAGAAACAACCATTGGGAGCAAATTGTCAGAGGTGGTAGTTCCAAGTTCTGGTCCCTTCATAGACAAGATAAATAAACAAGCACAAAATGTCAGAACTAATTTTGCCAGAACTCTGGAAATACACAAAGACCTTCAGCAATTAAATAAGACTAAAGGAAGATAGAGGCAACTTAGAAACAGGAGGTAAGAGTGACATTCAACAATATGGTGGACTTGGAAGCTCCAGGCCTTCATCCCCACTGAGACACTAAGTTAGCAACAATATACAGATAAAAATACTTATTTTAAAACTCCAAAAATCATTTTGGATGTTGCAGCTTGCAAATGAATGCATGGCCAATACCAAAAAGGGTAGAAAGTTTATGGCATTTTCTCACCCCAACCCTTCTCCCAACATGGCATGGCACAATCAGGAGGAAATGTCCCAATTCCAAGCTCCTCCCATGGGACAGAAAGGAAAGACTAGAACTTGTATGCAATGTTCTGGCTTGTCTAGGGGCTGCCCAAAGGACTGGTTTCTGTCTTGTCTAATGGAGCACTAATGGAAGTGGCAACATGGTATAGACGCCAGGTTGGAAGTCCTAGAAAAACAGAGGCAAATGCTGTAGCATCTTAGAGTATTTTAAAGCAGCAGGAAATCTGCAGTTCCCCATTCAGGTGCGAAGGATACAGGCAGAGAAACTACAAAAGAAACATGATCTCCAAGCTGCCTGAGGAAATTAGGGTAGTGTAAAGCAACCATATACAATAGAATGAGAGAATATGCACGACCCCCAAAGACTCATCTGAAAATGTTTTTGGTGAAGGACTTCCCATGCATGAAGCTAGTCCATAAAGACTATGAGAGATGTCTGTTTTTTTAAATGCCCAAATCTCAACAAAACATAACAAGGCATACAAAAAAAAAAAACAAAAAAAAACCAAACAAACAAACCAAGGAAACCTGCCCTAATCAAAAGAACAAAATACTCGGGGGCAAGATGGCGGAAGAGCAGGGTCCCCAAATCACCTGTCCCCATCAAATTACCTAGATAACCTTCAAACCATCCTGAAAATCTACGAATTCGGCCTGAGATGTAAAGAGAGACCAGCTGGAATGCTACAGTGAGAAGAGTCCGCGCTTCTATCCAGGTAGGAAGACGGGGAAAAAGAAATAAAGAAACAAAAGGCCTCTGAGGGGGAGGGGCCCCGCGAGGAGCCGGGCTGAGGCCGGGGCGAGTGTCCCCAGGACAGGAGAGCCCCGTCCCGGAGGAGCAGGAGCTGCACCAACCTTCCCGGACGGAAAGGGGCCCGCACGGAGTTAGAACAGGACCCAGGAGGGCGGGTATGCCCTCGGACTCCCAGGGACACTAACAGACACCTGCGCCCCCGGAGAGTGCAATGAGCTCCCTAAGGGCTGCAGCGCGCACGGCGGGGACCGACCGGAGCAGCTCGGAGGGGCTCGGGAGCGGCTCCAGGGAGGGAGCTGCAGGGCGGGAGCGCAAATCCAACAGTGCAGGCCCCGGAGCACAGGGCGCCGGGACACAGCCCAAGATCCGGCCTCCCCCGGGACAGGCAGAGCCCGGGAGGGCCCAGGACAGCAAGGACGCTCCTGCCCCGAGCTGAGCAGATCAGCGGCCCCGCCCCGGAGCCTCCAGGCCCTGCGGACGGAGAGCCGAGAGCCCCGAGCCCCGTAGTTCCTACGGACGGAGAGCCGAGAGCCCCGAGCCCCGTAGTTCCTGCGGAGGCTGAATCCAGGCTTCCAGAGTTGCCATAGCAACTGCGGCTGATCCTCCTGGGGCCCAACGGGGTAAACAACCCCCGCTGAGCCCTGCAGCAGGCAGGGGCAGAGCAGCTCCCCCAAGTGCTAACACCTGAGAATCAGAACAGCAGGCGCCTCCCCCAGAAGACCAGCTGGACGGACCAGTGATACTCCCCCGTGTTCCAATACAACTTGTTTCTGGCCACTCTGCACTGAGCAAAATGACTAGAAGGAAAACCTCACCTCAAAAGAAAGAATCAGAAACAGCCCTCTCTCGCACAGGGTTACAAAATCTGGATTACACTTCAATGTCAGAAAGCCAATTCAGAAGCACTATTCTACAGCTACTGGTGGCTCTAGAAAAAAGCATTAAGGACTCACGAGACTTCATGACTGCAGAATTTAGATCCAATCAGGCAGAAATTAAAAATCAATTGAATGAGATGCAATCCAAACTAGAAGTCCTAACGACGAGGGTTAACGAGGTGGAAGAACGAGTGAGTGACATAGAAGACAAGTTAATGGCAAAGAGGGAAACTGAGGAAAAAAGAGATAAACAATTAAGGGACCATGAAGACAGATTAAGGCAAATAAATGACAGTCTAAGGAAGAAAAACCTACGTTTAATTGGGGTTCCCGAGGGCGCCGAAAGGGCCAGAGGGCCAGAATATGTATTTGAACAAATCCTAGCTGAAAACTTTCCCAATCTGGGAAGGGAAACAGGCATTCAGATCCAGGAAATAGAGAGATCCCCCCCTAAAATCAATAAAAACCGTTCAACACCTCGACATCTAATAGTGAAGCTTGCAAATTCCAAAGATAAAGAGAAGATCCTTAAAGCAGCAAGAGACAAGAAGTCCCTGACTTTCATGGGGAGGAATATTAGGGTAACAGCAGACCTCTCCACAGAGACGTGGCAGGCCAGAAAGGGCTGGCAGGATATATTCAGGGTCCTAAATGAGAAGAACATGCAACCAAGAATACTCTATCCAGCAAGGCTCTCATTCAAAATGGAAGGAGAGATAAAGAGCTTCCAAGACAGGCAGGAACTGAAAGAATATGTGACCTCCAAACCAGCTCTGCAAGAAATTTTAAGGGGGACTCTTAAAACTCCCCTTTAAGAAGAAGTTCAGTGGAACAATCCACAAAAACAAGGACTAAATAGATATCATGATGACACTAAACTCATATCTGTCAATAGTAACTCTGAACGTGAATGGGCTTAATGACCCCATCAAAAGGCGCAGGGTTTCAGACTGGATAAAAAAGCAGGACCCATCTATTTGCTGTCTACAAGAGACTCATTTTAGACAGAAGGACACTTACAACCTGAAAATAAAAGGTTGGAGAACCATTTACCATTCAAATGGTTCTCAAAATATACCCTAAAAACTATAGAACACTTCTGAAAGAAATTGAGGAAGACACAAAGAGATGGAAAAATATTCCATGCTCATGGATTGGCAGAATTAATATTGTGAAAATGTCAATGTTACCCAGGGCAATTTACACGTATAATGCAATCCCTATCAAAATACCATGGACTTTCTTCAGAGACTTAGAACAAATTATTTTAAGATTTGTGTGGAATCAGAAAAGACCCCAAACAGCCAGGGGAATTTTAAAAAAGAAAACCATATCTGGGGGCATCACAATGCCAGATTTCAGGTTGTACTACAAAGCTGTGGTCATCAAGACAGTGTGGCACTGGCACAAAAACAGACATATAGATCAATGGAACAGAACAGAGAACCCAGAAGTGGACCCTGAACTTTATGGTCAACTAATATATGATAAAGGAGGAAAGACGATCCCCTGGAAGAAAGACACTCTCTTCAATAAATGGTGCTGGGAAAATTGGACATCCACATGCAGAAGAATGAAACTGGACCACTCTCTTGCACCATACACAAAGATAAACTCAAAATAGATGAAAGATCTAAATGTGAGACAAGATTCCATCAAAATCCCAGAGGAGAACTCAGGCAACACCCTTTTTGAACTTGGCCACAGTAACCGGAGAAGGACAGTGTATGTTCTCATTCATTTGGGGAATATGAATAATAGTGAAAGGGAATATAAGGGAAGGGAGAAGAAATGTGTGAGAAATATCAGAAAGGGA